TGTTTTCTTCATTTTGTCAGATGAAATTCCACAGGCTGCCTTTTCTCCTCTCTTTTTAGAGGTGTGAGCATTTTAATTTCTAGTCCTTCACTTGCTTTCCGACTTCCAGAATTAGTTTGAAATCTTTTGTTTTCTGAATGCTTGTTTAATCTCCATTTTTTCTCTTCATGTTAAAGCCTTATATATCTCTTTACTATCATTTTATCAGTTAATGTTGGTTGGAAAAGCTAATATATTCAGGGGCTCCGTGTGTTCTATTACCGGAAGCTGGGTTCAGTATTTGTGAATTTATCTCTTGGCTTCAGTGTAGAACATGGCTGTGGTGGGAAGGAATTATCTGTGATGTCCCAGAAAGTCCTGGTGCACAGAGATAGTGAATCCAGTAGTAACGAAAAGAGACATGCCAGCATGCAAGTGGACACTCAGCCCCAGAAATCTTAGAAGATGGACAGTGAGGCTGCAGGTGCTGGGCGGGACACAGAGCTGAATGCCAGTCTCCGAGACAGCAGCCAACAAGGTCCATTTCTTCACGGTCTAGAAAACCAGAGAACTTCACAGATTATGACAGTTTTGTGATCTGTGTATTCCATGCATAACATATCTTGTACATAATTCTGCCACTAAGTTGTTTTAAATTTATTTGTTGATGCTTTTACGTCATTATATCCTATTGGTATTCCATAATGTAATAAGTCTGTGAACGTTTGACGTAGAATACTAAACAACATATAAACAACTACTCATACAAGATTATCAAGTAGCATTGGAACGTAACACTCGAGGGAATGTATAGCCTAGTAGGAGTAGATAAGTCACGGATATGAGTAACATGATTTGTGTCTATTGTGTATATTTATATTATACTCCTTTTTCAATGTCACTCAGCTAATGAGATCTGCCTCAAATCAGTCATGCAGCTGAGTCCAGGGCTGCTACTGGTCTATTCAGAGCCTTTGCTGGAGCTTCAAAAGGTAGCCTTTCCCCGTGGATGAAGCCCCCCCCTTGGGGACTCACAGCTTGGCAAGGGGAATGTGGGTGGATCTAAGCATCTTCTCTCCTCCTCACCGGGCATCTCTATAGAGGCAACAACCCCATCATCGCCTGTGAGGAAAAGTTTTGGCTGCTCTGTCTTCTCATCCCTCTTCCCTCTACCACTCAAGCATGCCCAAGCTCTTCTGACCAAACCAATCCTTCCTGGTCCACATCCCTTCAATATGGTCCACGCACCCAAAAGTGTCTGAACACCTACGGCAGACCCAGCAAATTCTACAGCTGGAACTCCAGCTCCTAACATGATGTGTGAACAGTAGAAATACAGGGACACAGTAACAAACAAAACTGAAAAGAAGGATGTTAGGGAGGAGGCTGACCCATTGAAGAATGAGTGAGGTTAATTAGGAAAATTTAGGAGGTCTGAGTTTAAGTTTAAAAAGAGGAAGGAATGCGTTCTCATAGAGTGTGCGTTTCCTGTGCATAAAAAAAGAGCTTAGGAAATATTTCCTGAATGACAGAGGGCAAGAAGTTGAAGGAAGATCAGATTAACTGAAACAGGAAGTTTGGGCATGCAGTTTTCTAACCTTCACAGTCCCATTTTAGAGAAAAGGAAATTGAGAATCTGAAAGTTTAATTGCTAGACCCAAGATCGAAGAGCTAA